GAACTGAGGTTAGGACTTCTGGGTTGCTTGTTTGATGTGTTAAGCAGTTATAGTGTTCTCAGAGATGCTACTGAAATGGGAACAAAGGTGAGTGTGGAATGGAAGAAAAAGTGAGGGGCAAAATTATTCTTAACTGTAGGAGGTGTGAATGTGGAGATGGAAGCAGATAGAGTACAAAATGGTTGTTGCTAAAACTGAAGCATCATATGCTTGCTGTGAGGTGTACTGATATCTGCCTCCAGCTTGGCAATGCATCAAATATAAAGTGATGGGTGGACAGTTAGGTGATAAAGGATGTAGGGCAAAGTGTTGCTGGTGTTAGATAACCTTGAGTAAGCTTCTTAAACCTCTGAGGCCATATTTCCTCATGAGGAAATAAGGGAGTATTAATATCTACTTCCCAGAGCAGGATGCATGAGAAGACCCACTGAGTGATCCTGAGCACGGCCGCCCAGTGTCCGGCTCAAAGTGACGCTCAGTAAACAGTAGCTGCCCCATCACCACCACACACTTGCTTTGCACCTTGGTGCACAGAGTTACATTAATCATAACCCTGGTTTGGGTACACAGACTCATCATTGATCTAAGCATGACATGCTTTGTAAGTTTACTTAATGTTTGTTTGTTTGTTTGTTTAATTTTTTTAGAAAGAGGAAGGGAGGGAGAAAGAGAGAGAGAGAGAAAACAACAACATAGATTTGTTGTTCCATTTAGTTATGCATTCATTGGTTGATTCTTGTATGTGCCCTGACCAGAGATTGAACCTGCAACCTGGTGCATCAGGACTATGCTCTAACCAACTGAGCTACCCAGCCAGGGCTAGTTATTTAATTTTGATAACAGAAGAAGGACCACCACTCAAAAAAAGGCAGGGTCCTGACATGGTCTACATCTGCTGATGTGGCCCTCATTCCAAGTCCTTGCACCCTACCCATGTTCTTCATGTTCATGTTTTCTTTTTAATTTAGTAGTCTAGATTACACATATTTCTAAAAGGTACATGCAATACATTGGTTGCCTTTTTTTTTTTAATAGAAGGGACACTGTGTGTATGTAAAGTTTGAATCTTTGGGGAATTGCCTTTTTCACTTGATACCAAATTGCCAAGACTGTCCACATTGTGCCACTGCAGTCCATTTGCTTTTGCTTCTGTGGCTATGTCCTTCCACATCACATTGACCTGCCCCCCTGCTGTGGATGGGCCTCGGGATGCTTCCCAGGGTTTTGCTACCAAGCTGGTGCTGCCATGCCCAATCTTTTTTTTTTTTAATTTAAATTATTTATTGTTGAAAATATTACATGTCTCCTCCGCCCCCCCCCTCCGCCCCCCTCCTTGACCTCTCCCTGCTTGCTTCTGCCCCCAGCACAGGCTCTCACCCTCCCTAGTGTCTGTGTCCATTGGTTATGTTTATATGCATGCATACAAGTCCTTTGGTTGATCTCTTACCCCCTCTCACTCCCCTGCTTTCCCTCTGAGGTTTGTGGGTCTATTTGATGCTTCCCTGTCTCTGGATCTATTTTTGTTCATCAGTTTATGTTATTCATTTTATTCCACAAATGAGTGAGATCATGTGATATTTATCTTTCTCTGACTGGCTTATTTCGCTTAGCATAATGCTCTCCAGTTCCATCCATGCTGTTGCAAATGGTAGGAGTTCTTTCTTTCTTACAGCAGCATAGTATTCCATTGTGTAGATGTCCCACAGTTTTTTAAGCCACTCACCTGCTGAAAGTGCCACCTCAGGAGCCCCCAGGCCGCCCTTCCAGAGTGTGCCGCCCCCCACCATCATCATTGTGAAGGAGCTAGATGAGGGGCAGGCCCCCAGGATGAGTGCCCTTCCAGCCTAACCAACTTCCAGAACCTAAACAGGAAGTTGGGCCTCTGCTGGGCCAGGAGGTTCAGCCAAGTGAGCCTCCACATCCCTAACCCTCCACACCCCTCAGGGATGGATCAGGACCAACCTGTCCCTGGGCCCCAGAGTGGAGCTCAGCTGCTCATTGAGGTTGAAGCAGACACTCCTCCAGAGTCACCCCTGACCATGGTGCCTTATGACCTGGAGCTTGGAGGGGACTGGCCCAAGAAGGTGTGTAAAATAAAAGAAAGAAAATCAATGTGTGCCCATCTCCCAGACCCTTCCCTTCCCCACCCTTAACTCCAGTGCCCAGCACCAATCCCCTCTGCCTGCAAGGCCTCCACTCTTTCTAAGAGAGCTGAGAGGGAACCGGGGTTCCTCCATTTTTTTTTTTTTTTTTTTTTTTTTGCTACATGTGATTTTAATGAACTTGCATTTACTTGGTTTGGAAACCATATTTTAAAAGACATGCATAGTTTTCTAAACATGTCTACGTTATTCAAGGAAGAAAGTGAATTCAAAATGGACTTGGCACAATGTGCTTACTCTTGTTGGTTAGTAACGTTGATAAGTTTATGAGTTTAAGTAGCTTATAAAGAAATTCTTCAGCATTCTTTAGAAAGTTTTATAGGAAGTAATCAAAATTAATTTTAATGGCAATAAACTTAAAATCAGTCTTGGTAATTTTAAATCTTTGGCTGCTGGGTGGCTGTTTCAGCGGAGGGCTGTCAGGAAGATGGGACCCTTCCCTTGCCACCACTACCCGAGACACAGGTGCAGGGTTGTCCTGCATGCTCCCCACTGTGTGACACAAAACCTGCTCAGGAAGCCAGGGGCTGGGGGCGGGGGGGGGGGGGGGGTTGGGGGTTGGCAGTGGCGGGCAGTGAGGGACTTGGAGACATCTACTGGCGACCTGCCACGGCTGCTGGGTCGAGATGACCTCTGCCGGAGAGCCAGGAAGAGCATCTGTACTGGGTGACAGCCCACCAGAACCTCAGAATGTGGCTTCATTTGGAGAAAGGTCTCTGCAGATATAATTAGGGACCTCGACATGAGATCATCCTAGATTATCCGATGGCCCAAATTCCAATGAGAGTGCTGTTATAAGAGACACAGGGAAGAGGACAAAGGGGGGTGGGGCACATGAAGATGGAGGAAGAGGTTGGCAAGATCACTGCATTTATGTCAGAGCACTTGTGCTGGCTTTGAAAAATGGAATTAAACCATCACCTGGCTTACACAACTATGGGAACGTACTAGCAGTGTTTTTCATTTCTTCGTTTGCATTGTTAATAACTTCCAGGCCTGTGTGGACACAGAGACGGCACAGCCCAGCTTCAGTCTAAATGGAACAGAACCGTGAGTCCGGAGAGCGGGGCCGCAGGGGGACCTGCTTGAGTTCTCCCTGTTTCTCCAACTCTAAGTTTTCGGACTTGCCTGGCCTCTGGGGTATGGAACTTTTCAGGGGAATGAGAATTAGAAGCCCATCCTTGGGCCAGTTTTAAGCGGAAGTAGAAACCAGCGGGGTCGAGAGGAAGGCGTTGGGACCCAGGACCACTGTGAGGGCTGTGCAGCAGCCACCATGGCTCCTGAGCATCAGAAAACCATGTTCTCTCAGTCATGGTCTGGTAGACAGCCAACACCTATCACCCCTTCTCAGGTTCAGCACCCCAACTTCTGTCGCCTTTGCCAGGCTCCCTGACCTGGCTGGACTCTGCGGTGAGCCTGGAAGCTGTGCTCCCACAGGCTGACTCCTGCTTCCGGTGCTTGTCGGTCAGCTGAGGTGCTGACAGGACACACCTGGAGGATGGGAATGTGTGGGCAGGGGATCTTCATTGAGGAGAATGAGGATAGAATCTAGAAGTGTTTATAGGGAGGGCGTCTGCAGCTGGGAGAGAGAGGACAGAGCGTGTGTGTGTGTGTGTGTGTGTGTGTGTGTGTGTGTGTGGTGATGGGGGGGGGGGGTGTCTTTAGCCAGGAGGTTGAAGACAGAGCCTGGGGTGGGGCTCCTTGGCTAGCTCCAAGGGAACCATAGCAGTGAAGCTAGAAGTGATCTCAGGGCCACCCTCCCTGCTGGAGGCTGAGCCTCTCAGTAGCCTGAGGAGACCTCTTCCACTGGAGGGTGAGAGGGAGACCCCTGCACCCCAAGTCACAGCACTCCGGCCAGTACTCCCTGTCATCCTGGCTGGAGAACCTTCTGCTGAAGGCAGGCCTGCCCCTCTCCTGGGCAGTAAGGGCCAGGTGGGGGGAACAGGCAGCAGGTGTCCCAAAGAAGGGGAGGGAAGAGGAGGGGAGGGGAGGGCAAAGAAACTGGAAGAGGATTTCAGGATGACGCTTTTCACACAGGCAACCAGGGGAGACCCACTTTGTCCATAGGAAGAAGGAAGGCCGCAGCTGAGTGGAGGCTGAGGTGGTGGTGCAGCCGCTGCTTGTCCCGGGGAAGGTGAGCCAGCTGCCCATGGTGCTGCTGCTGCTGCTGGTGCTGGGCACGGACCTGCTGCCTTGCTTCGGTGCTCCACCCAGGTGCTCGCCGCACATCCCTTCCCCCGGGTACCCTCAATTCTCTGGACGCGGCCCACTCCCCGCTCCCTGACCTTCCCACCTTCCGTGGGGTCCGAGTCCCCCGCCACCCCGGCCCCCTCCTGGCCCGAGCGCCTTAGCGAAGAGGACAGTGCTCTTGGCCGCCCCATCCTGGAAGGCCCGTCTGCGCACCCATTCATCTTCCCTCCGCCTCCACCCTCCATCGCCTGCGCCCTGGTGGGAGGTGGCGCGGAGACCCGGCTGCGGGCCCTACGGGCACTGCCCCGCGAGGTTCCCACGGCCCTGGGCGTAGAGCCGGTGGCCTGCGCAGAGACGGCCTTGTAAGGCAGAGGCGGCGCTGGGACCGGCCTCCGTGCGTCCAGCGCGCTCCCCCGGCTTGGAAGGACGGGGGCGGGGCCCGGAGCGCCCGGGTGGGCTGGGGTGGGGGCCGGGGCGAGGCTGGGGGCAAGCTCGGGCCGGTGTGGACGGGGCCGACGGTAGGCTTGGGGGGTCTGGGGCGCGCGGGGGGCGTGGGGCGCTCGGAGGGGTGGGGGCGGTGGAGCAGGCGAAGCGAGGCTGGGGGGGCGTGAGCAGACCAGTGGGGGCGGGGCCGGGGCGGGGCCGGGGCGGGGCCGGGCGGCGGCGGCGCGAGCGCACCGCCAGGCACTCGGTTGCGAGCGGCCGAGTCGCGGAGGCGCCGCCGCAGCAGTCCCTGCGTCTGCGAGGTAAGCGATCGCGGGGCTCGGTACCGGGGCGCCGGGCAGACGGACACCCCTCGGGGACGCAGGGCCTCGGGCCAGCCTGCGCCGCCCGCCACCTGCGCCCGGGCTGCGCGGCGGTCGGCGCTGTGCAGGGTGCGGGAAGGGAGACACGGGAGAGGGGCGGGAGGGACTGGCGGTGCAAAGCACAGGTTTATAATTGGGCCCCAAGCGAGGCCCTTGGCCTTTCTTCACGGAGGTGCCTCTTGCGCCTTCTTTCCTGCGCCGCGCGGCAGTGTATCTCCCCGCCCTTCACGTCCAGCCGCAGGAGCGCTGTTTAGCGACGCCCGGGCCTGGGGTGCCGCTCCCCACGAGACAGTGGGAAATTAGGACTGAACGGGTTTGAAATGAAGCCGCTGCCCTACAGCACGGAACGGCCGTTTGTGTCCAGGGGCCCAGAATGAACGTGATTCCGGCAAGGGCTGCGCTGCCCCTCTCAGGGTCCCAGCCCAATGGGTCCGGCACAAACGTCACCTTTCCCGGGCCAAGTGTCAGGCCTACAGTCTGCAAATCGAAGCTTCCCAAGGGGTATTCCGTCTTCTGATCGCCTGTGAGCACCGAACCCGCAGGATAAAGAGGTTGCTGCCGGTGCATTTCCCACGCACCTCTGCGGCCAGTGCCCGCCTTTGAGAGCGAGTCCTGAGAAACCCTTCATTCTGCGGTTTCGGTTTTGTCCAGAAGCCTTGCGACGCGGTGGGGGGGAAATTAATTCGCGCTTCCCTGTTGGGACTGCTATTTTGATAGGCGTCGTGTGTTCTCCGAGGATCCGACACCTTTTGGGACGAGCCGGCTATGCTGTCATCCACCTGCGCATTTCATTGGCTGATTCCCCTGACATTTATTAGATACTTGCGGCGTCCCTGGGGGACGCTGATAAAAGGACCCAGCAACCCTGGCCGCCCTCTCCGAGAGCACAAGCGGGAGCGGGAGCGGGGTTGTCCCCAGAGCCTAGACCAGCCCCTGGCCTCTAGGAAGTGAGCAGTAAACTGACCTGAACTCTGAGTGCACTGGGATCACATCCGGGGATGAAGTGATGGGGCTGGGGAGGGAGAGCTGCAAACAGGCAGGAAATGGGGTGTGTGTAGTGGGCGGTGAATCAGGCCTCAAGGCTTCCCAATGCCTTAAACTGGATTCCAAGGTCCTGTCTCAGGTACCAGCCCCTGTTCCCATCACACAGTGGGACTCACAGGGCTCAGTGATGGGAGGTGGTGGGGGGAGGTGGTGCTGGGGAACTTCCTGGGAGCTGGGAGTGTCTGCAAATGCATGCCAGTGAGGGTTCTGTGGGCATGGTTTCCAAAGGGGTCTGACTCAGAAAGGTACCACAATTTAAGGGCTACAATAAAAAAAAAAAAAATGGATCTGCATCTCTATGGAGTGATGAGGTGATGGAGATTAGAGGAAGCTGTGCTGCATTCTTATCTCTCCTGCGTTGTTTGGCTGATCTTCCTGGATCCTTTAAAGTTGCAACAAATAACTATGTACGTGGTTATAAATGCTAATGGTGGAAAATGCACACATTTGATAAAGAAAATTAAAGCTACTCAGCGCTGATGGAGGTTTAAGAGAAACCTTTGAGCAGCCAGACTGTCCTCAGGGCCGTCGCGTCCTGGTGGCTTCCCTCCCGCGGGGCAGCAGAGCTGCTCCCTGTGGAAGAGGCTGAGAAGCACTGGGAGTCGCGAGGGGAACACTCTGTAAAGTGTATTGATTGTCCAGCCACTATGCTGTACACGTGAAACCAAAACAAAGCAATATTGAAAGTAAATTGTAATTGAAAGATTTTTTTTTTAAGGAAAGGCTTCCTGGGGAGAGGCTGTGCTGACTTGGAGCCAGGCCTATATTTAGCTGGTGATGTTGCTGGTGAGGCTGGAGGAGCATGCACAGAGATGCCATCTGGGGATCTTGAGCAAGGGGCCCTGCGGCACCTTGAAGTATCAGGTCCTCCTCGGGCTGTGAGATCCAGGCCCTGAGCTCCTGTCCAGAAACTCTTCTCCTGTGGCACAGTGTCTCCACATGTCCCCTGGACTGAGGGTGGTTTGGGCCTGGGGCCAAGTCCACCTGAGCCTACAAACCCAGGACCAGGCAGATGCTGGGACTAGGCAGGAGAGCAGACACTGCTTAAGTAACAGGTGGGAAGGAAAGAGCGGAGCTGCCTGGGTGGGGCCCACACTACCTGTCTCCAAATCCCATGTGAGCCCTCACCACTGTTCAGCCCCCTCCTGGGAGACCAGCTTCCTCTTTGGGTGGGGAGGTAGCCACCGTGTCATAATCCATGCCATCCCTAACCATGGCATCTCACCTCCGCAGAGCCTCCTGGGCAGCTTTCAAGTGCCAGGAACTTTACTTGGCTTTACTTGGCTCTGCTGGGGTCACCGGGGGAGGCTGCAGGGTCTGTGATCCGTTGGCAGCCCCCAGGACCTGCATATGGAGGAAGGGCAGCTCCCCACAGGAACACAGCATCCAAATCCAGGAACTGTGTCCAAATCTCGGTTCCTAATAGAGGAATTAAGACTGGTTTTCACTTCCATATTTTCCCTTTACTGTACAAAGACTTGTAATGGCAGCTCAGTTGTGACTGTGAATGACTCTCTAAACGTCCAAATGCAGGACCTTCTCTGGAGAGCAAATGTAAAAAATCTTTCACAAAGTATAAGAAAATGATGGCTTTCTGACTTTTGCACCACACTAAAATGTCTTCTGCAACCCCCCATACACTCGGAGACCTGAGCTTCTTAGCTGTGGGCACTGTGAGCTCATCCTTATAAGACCACATTCACGCTGACTTTAAAAAATATATATATATATCTTTATTGATTTCAGAGAGGAAGGGAGAGGGAGAGAGAAATCAACGATGAGAGAGTCATTGATTGACTGCCTCCTCCACGCCCCCCACTGAAGATCAAGCCCACAACCCTGTCAGGTGCCCTAACTGGGAATTGAACCGTGGCTGCCTCCTGGTTCATAGGTCGATAGTCAACCACTGAGTCACACCAGCTGGGTGACTTTTTCTCTTTTAAATTAGATTTGTGAAACGTCCTTACCTACCTGGAGTCCTTTATGCCCTCTTCTCCTGTGGCTCAGTGTCTCCACATGTCCCCAGCTTGTCTCCGTCGGGCCCAAGTCTCTGATTTTCTTGGCATGCTAAGTGGGGCATCCCGTGTGGGCTCCGCGTGATCTCCCCCGCCCTGGGCCACTTTTCTCGAGATCTCATCCTGTAACCTTGTTGCACCCTTTTGTTCAGCAGATGTCTGAGCACCTGCCAGGTGCCAGGTAAGCTGGCGTGGCCTCCACCCTGGGGAGCTCTCACTCTAGCTGGAATGTCACAAAACAGCCAGCATCCTCTAGGTGACCTCATTTAGGCCTCACACTCCCCACTGTCTCATCTCCTCTTGGCAAAGGATGAGCTAGGCGGGCAGGTTGAGCTTCCCTGGGGTGTGTGTGCATGTGGGCCTCACACCCAGGAGTCTAGCCCCAGAGTCGGTGTTAACTCAGATGCCCCCTCACATCTGACTGGAGTGAGCTCCCAGGAGCCTGCAGGGTGCCCCTAAGGAAGCGTGCTTCACACACCATGCGTGCCTCAGGGTTCTCACCACTGTCCACTTGATGACTCTCGGCCCCTCCCTGTCCCCCACCCCGCTCTGGTTTTCTAACGCTGTCCCACACCCATCCCAAACCAGGAGTTAAGACAGTGATGGCGTCTATCTGTGGCCGCCATGGTGCTGCATGTGCCAAATGTCCCACCTGCCTCTGGCGCAGGGTTGGCCGCAAGCCCCTGTGCCTGTGTCAGGGGCAGGCTGTGGACAGAATGGCGCTGGAGGATGAAGGAGGTCATCTGAGCCTCCCATCACCGCCCTGCCTTCCCTGGGATGCTGGCACCCAGCTGTCCCCGGGCCGGATGTGGTGGCTGCTCTTTTGTTCCTGGGGGCCCCTGTGCCTTTGCTGTGGTTTTACCACCTTCCATTGTAGTTGTGTTCAACCTTTATATCTAGGGAGCCACGGAGAACACATTCTTCGGTGCTGGCTTATTTCTGTCAGCGCTGTGTGAGCGGCTCTCTCGTGTGGTCTCACGTGTCCAGTGTGTATGTGCCGTGCTGGGAGCCCACCACCGTCATTTACCCACGGTGTGGCTGATGGGTGCGGGGCACTTCCATTTTTTGGCCGTTGTGAATGAAGCTGCCTGACCTTCCTGTGATGCTCTCTGGAGCACATGTGCGAGCGTTTCTGTTGGTGACGAGTGTAGGCCCTCGTTTATCCTGATGTCCCCCTGCAGTCCACGTTGCCAAGGCAGCTGGAACCATGTGCCCCACCGTTCCCTGTTGCTCCTCATCCCCCAGCACTTGGCATCACCGCCATTTCAGTCGTCCGCCATTCTGGAGGGTGTGGTGGTATCTGCCTTGTGTTTTTTTGCACTTTCCCTGTGTATTGGGCATCCAGTGTGCTCTCACTGAATGCTGGGCCAAGTCCTTGCCCTTGTCCTAGAGACGGTTGTCTCTTTCCTGTTGATGAACCGGGATCCTCATAGACTGAGAGGAGCCTATGTTCATTATTAATAGCTGATTCCTCCTTCCCTGTAGCTTGCTTTTTCACTCCCCCCATAATATTTTTTGATGAATAGAAGTTCTTAATTTTAACTCGGTGCCATTTGATAAGCTTTTCCTTTGGGGGTAGTGATGCTTGTGTCCTGGGTAAGGAATCTTCCCCTGCCCTGAGGACATCAGATGCTCTTGTGCATTATCTTCTTGCAGCCTCATTACCCTGCCTTCCCTGCTTCACTCTGCCATAGGCCTGAGCTGATGGTGTCAGGACCCAGTGTGCTTTTTTTCATGTGTCCATTCAATCAGCCCATCTCCACTGACTAAAATCATTCTTTTCCCTTTTTTTTTTTTTCTCCCTGCAGGGCCACCTTTGTCATTCTGAATGTGTCAATATATGCTTGGGTCTATTGGGGCTTTATTCTGTCTCATCAGTTC